GCCGACCAAGTCGAGCCCGAGCCCCACGACAATGACATGCGGAAAGCGACGTTCAACGGAGACTTGAGGAAAGCGATAGGATGAAAGGGACAAGACGTGCGGAAAACGACGTTCAACGAAGACTTGGTGAAAGCGATAGGATGAAAGGGACAAGACCTAAGGACAGGTGACGTCCGCTAAACGACGGGCCTCGATCGGAGGGCTTTGACTTAGTGTATTGTACCCCCTATAAAAGGGGTGGCACCCCTCATTGTAATGGATCGGAATTTGAAATCAATATACTCCTTCTTTGCATTCTCTCTCTCTAAAACTTATATTATTTCATACTCTCGGTGGTTTATAGCCATCAACTGGGCTGGGGCTGACTTCACCTTCTTGCTCTGGTGAGAGCTGCTGGGCGCTGCAGAGGGCCTCTTGCCACAGGTCCCCGCCTTCTGGGGTGGAGGAGGATGAGATTGTGCTGCTGACGTCCCCTGCGACTTCTCAAACTCAGCCTTCTTGATGAGGGCCGCATTCAAATCCAACGCATTCTTGTACAACGCGTTGATGTCACTCCGGGGAGCAATGATCAGATGGGTTGAAAGGTCGGGACGTAAACCCTCCACGAAGCGTTTGCACCGCTTCTCCACGGTCGGTACGAGGTCTTGCCCGAACCCCGCGAGTTCGTCAAACTTCTGACGATATTCTGGCAGTGTGAGTTCACCTTGGGTGAACTTCAGGAATTCCTCTCGCTTCGCCTCGACGAAGTGCTCCGGAATGTACTCATGGAAGAGTCGGTCAAAAGTGGCCCACTACACGGGCTCCGAGATGTCCGCTCCCACACGCTTCCACCAATCGTAGGCGGAATCCTGAAGTAATGCGACTGCGAGGTCGCCACGCTGCTCCTGCGGAACCCTCAGGTTTCCCAACACTCGGATGGTTCGCTCAAACCACCGCTTGGCAATCATGGGGTCGGTGATCTGATCGCCCAGAAAATTCCTCAACCCCGTTCTTCCGGAGCTTCTCGATGGTGACCACCGCCGCTGGTGGCGGCGGTGGTGGCGGTGGTGGAACGTATGCTCCAGCCATCTGCTGGAGGAAGTTCATGAAGTTGGCCGCAATCTGCAGCTGAATGATAGGAATGGCTTCCAAAATAGGGCCCACGCCCGGGACCGCCTGCTTAGAGGCCTGCTGAGGTGTGAAGCTTGACGCTTCAGTGTGCACGCTCACGTGCACAGGCTCCCCTTCTGGGACAGCCTGTCCGTCGTTGCCAGCTGCTTGGCTCATTCTCTAAAGAAATAATTTAAATCAGAACTAACTACAATATGACATACATGTGATTAAAAATAACGGTGTACCTTTCCCTAGGAGTAATGTGATGGGAGATGCGGCTGTGGACTTTTGAAAATAAAACCTTTTGACCCCAAAATGACAAAATATTATTTTTTTTTCACAAAACCGAACCTCTCTGATACCAAATTGTAACACCCGCCTACCGTGGACCTTGTTCACCCGCGACCCGATGGACCGGTAGGGTTACATGGGCAGTCCAAGAACTGTCCGTTACAAAAACATTAGTAGTTATTTAATAGGAAAAATGGTTGGGTTTTAATTAGTAAAATAAATGCCAGGGAGTTACTCCCAAAACGTGTGTAAATGAAAGTGCAGAGTAAATGCGGAAGTAAATAAGTAAGTCCAGTCCAAGTTCAATAACGACAAGGGTGGGTTCATGCCCAAAAGATTAATCAAATAAATGGAAATAAATAAAAGCTTGTCCGTGCGCCGCACATCTCTCCATCGTCACTGCTCTCCAGGGTTGGCACCCGCACCGTCATGTCTACCTGCGTGTAGCAAAAACAACTACACGCTCAGCAAAAGCTGAGGAGTGAATCTAACAAAAGAACATTAAGTGATAACCCATATATCTATACACATATTAATACCTGTACTTAACATACGGGAAACCACATGTTACTAACTGTTTAGCTTTCGCCTGCTAGGCCTATTTCAACACACAAGTGATAGAAGCATACATGATGATGAAATGACTTGATGCATGACTCAAACTATCAGGGACACCCCTGGCTTAGTCTCACTCGACAGGATCACCCCTGCACTCCGGTCATCGTCCCCGAACGGTAACGAGCCGGGCACGACGAAGATGTCGCGAGTGGACTAGCAAAACCGGGTAGTAGCCGTAACCTGACTACTATGTACGTACACAAGCCCAACATGATGAAAACCCGTTGGACCCCGAGGGTTCCTGGACCGGCCCACTGTAGTAGGCGCACGAAGTCCTCCCTACAGCGGTATGCACATGATGAAAACCTAAGACATGCGTCTAGAATGATCATGATGATTGCTTGATATTTTTACCTTTGGTCAACGCCAAAATTATATCAGTTAAACATTATTTATACTGAAGATTAACATTTCATACAACAAACGATTAAATTCTGGGTCAATGTGGTCAATGGGGCTCGTTCTACAACCTGCCCAGAAATCTGCCCGCGAAACGGTCGACCGTAGCCTACCGGCGGTCGGCCGTGGGCTACGTTGAAGAGGGCTGGACTACCGGCGGTCCACCGTGGTCTTCCGTCGTGACCGACGGTCGACCGTCACGGTGGTGACCGACGGTACGGCTGTGGGAACGGTCCACCGTCGGAAGCGGCGGTCGACCGTCCCGGTGACAGTCCGCCGTCCCTTGCTCCGTTTTGGTTCGTTTTGCTAATTTAACACCTAAATTCTTTTTAGAATAATAACACAACATTTTTGAGTATATTCCTAGTGATTCCTAGGCCAACATTTATAGATTTTACGTAACAAATGTTTTAGTGGCTAACCTACGAACATGCATAGATTCTACGTAGGTTGCGTACGATATTCCTATGAATATAACGACATAGATTATAACCAAATGTTCTTGGATTAGAGAGGACAACTACTCACCTCTAAATGAAGGAATTGATGGAACGAGATGAACGAATGGTGCCAACGAACAGACGAACGACGACTACGCTTCGCAAGAACGCCCTAGCCCTTCTTCTCCTTCAACCTTGCACCCGCCGGAGCTTCGCCGGAGGTCCTCCTTGCTGCTGGTCTGGCCGAACAAAGGGGAGAGGAAAGTGGATGGTGTTGATGATTATGGGAGGTTACAAAAATGGTGGAGGAAGGGAATGGGTTGGGGGTTTTTAATTTAAAACAATAATGAGGAGAGTAAAGTGAAACTTAATGGAGCATGAATGTGTGAGTGGCGTGTGAATCATGGGGGAAGTTACAAATATATTTTCACTCCGTTATGTAAGAATCTGACCTGAACGGTACGCGCTTTTCCCCCTGAACGGGTCTGAATTGAGTTCCATTTGTGTTTCTGGAATCAGACAGTCAAGATGAATTTAATGATATGATCAAATAATTTTTCTAAGAACTTTTCATTTCCCCAACTCCGGTCAATTCTATTAGACCGGGTTGTAGGGCGTTACAATTATTATTATTATTATTATTATTATTATTATTATTATTATTATTATTATTATTATTATTATTATTATTATTATTATTATTATTATTATTATTATTATTATTATTATTATTTCTTTACAATCACGTTTGCAAAGTTTTTCATAATTATTATTATTAAAAAAGGAACTGTGTTAATACTAAATTTTTTGCCTAATTATTTATTATTATTATTTATTATTATTGTTTAACCGCATAATAAATCATTCCTGTATTGTTAACCTTAATTTTAACCAATCTACTTACTTTATTAATTGGTAATAATCAATTACCGTTTTGTTAACCGAAAAATAGTAAGTTTAAAATAAAAGTAGTAAAAGTAAGTTTACAATAAAGGTATGTAGATTTCTTGTTAATTACCAATTTTAATTTCTTACCTATAAAAGTAATAAAAGTAAGTTTACAATAAAGGTAAGTAGATTTCTCGTTAATTACCAATTTTAATTACTTACCTTTTTAATAATTTCCAATTTAAATTAATCACGTTAGTATTACTCCCTCCGTCCGGAAATATTCTTCCCGTGTTGACTTAGCACGCTTATTAAGGAATAGTAAAAAAAATGCAAATTTTTCAAAAATGCACATACTATAAACTTTTAAATCTCTTTTTATTATTAAAAAAGTACTAAAAAAGTAGGTTTGTGATAAAATAGAAGGGTATTATTGATATTTATCCTTAAAAAGTATACTAAAAAAGGAAATGGGAAGAATATTTTCGGACGGACCAAAAAAGAAAGTGGGAAGAATATTTCCGGACGGAGGGAGTATTATTATTGTTTAATCGTGTAACAGTAATTGCCATCAATTGCCATAATTAGGTTAGCCGTGTAAACATAATTATTTAATTTAATTATTAAATATAATGGAGTCATTACCATTTTAAGTAAACAATTACCATTGTTTATTGCAATATCAAATGGGCGGGAAAACCATCTCACGAATCCATGGCTTTTTAAATAAAGCATGGATTAGTGGTGGTTAAAAGCAGAAGCTGACATGCCAAACAAATTAAAATCACTTCTACTTAAAACAGAAGCTAAATTATTAAATGCCAAACACCCTCTAACTACGGAGTCTTTGTGTAGGTGAAGCAAATAGCAATGCTTCTCCAATCCACGTCACTCCAAAATCCGGATAATATAGTTACGGGATCGCGAATTATACCCTCCAAATCTGTTCCTCCGTGCTGCTGAATCGATGAACATGGTACTCCGTATTACTTTTTGTCTTCTTCAAAGTAAAATTGAACTCTTCCATACCCAAAAAATATGTTTCATTCACCAAGTTATGATGACATACGGAGTATTAAGAGCATATTAGTGTGAACTCATATAATTTAATATATAAAAGAACCAAAATAAAATAAAAAAACAAAGTTCATATATTAAAATTACTTCCTCCGTCAACAAATTAAATTCTAACTTTTTCTTATTAGGTCATACACAAATTATCTTCTCCTTTCCCTTTAAATAAAGAAAAATATTAGGAACAATAAGATTAATAAGAAAATATCGTTATGAATGGGGTTCCATTGACACTGGTCAATGATGTTACTAGTGGTGCCACTGCATTTTATTATTAGTTACTTTCTTTATTTTATTGTCAACATTATCTTTTATTCTAATTTGATTAGGATTTTCATGTATTCTATATATATATATATATATATATATATATATATATATAATGATCAAATTCTTATTATTTCATAAGATCAATTATTATCAAATTTTGTAATAGTATCGGAGCGAATATTTCATTCTTTAAAGTGAAATTTGCACTGAATAGGACTAAAACATAAGTAATTTCCCAGTGTAGGACTTAAACCTTTTTATTTTTTAAATAAGACTTAATAATGACTAGTGAGAAGAATAATATCCAAGTGATGCTAGACATTTAGTGAATAATGACTAATATTAATGTAGAAATCATCCTAAATAGGACTAAAACATAGAGAAAAGTACCAAAATAGGACTTTCATGTTTTTTTTTCCAGAATAGGACTTTGCACTGTGGTAATGTGACTTTGCATCACTACGCCAAAAAAGGTATCAGACAACTATTGATTAACTACTGTTTATGGAAAAACAGTAGTTAAAAAAAACAAACTACTGTTGGTTGTTGTTGGCTACAAAAGTAGTAGTCTAGCTATTATGCTTAAAACTATTTTTAAAGTTTCGAGAAACAGTATTGTAATATTAGTTGTCTGTGTCATATCAAAATACAGTTTTTGTTATCATAATTGTCAATAATAAGTTAAGAATACTCTTTTTAAACAGTAGTCTAGTTATTCAGTCTAGAACTGTTTTTAAAGTAATGAGAAACAATAATCTATTGCTAGTTGTCTGTGTCATATAGTATTTTTTGCACTATTGTTTATAATAAGAATACAATACTCTTTCTTAACAATAGTCTAGATACTTAGCCAACAACTGTTTTTAAAGTTCATAGAAACGATAATCTATTAGTAGTTGTCTGTGTCATATCAAAATATGGTTTTTGTTGCCATAGTTGTCTATAATACATTAATAATACTAATTTTAAACAATAGTCGGGCTATAAAGCCTAGAACTTTTTTTTTAAAGTTATGAAAAACGGTAATGTATTACTAGTAGTCTGTGTCACACAGATTTTTTTTACAATTGTATAGAATAAGTTAAGAAAACTCTTTTAAAGAGTAGTGTGGATAGTAAGCATAGAACTGTTTTTAAAATTATGAGATATAGTAATCTATTACTAATTGTCTGTGTCATATGATTGTTTTGCTAGAGTTGTTTATAATAAGTTAAGAATACTCTCTTTAAACTGTAGTTTAGCTATTAAGTTTCTAACTTTTTTTAAAGTTCAAAGACACGATAACCTTTACTACAATAAATATGTGTACGCCATCTAACGTTACTTTCGTAATTTTGGGCGAAACTTTAGACAACAATCAAATAACTGCTGTTTAAAACAATTACTACGTATCATTTTTAAAAATAAACACTTTTATTGAAACAAAATAAAAAGTACATGGACATGTTGTGTAATGTCCCGCTACACACAAAGGGAATTGGGAACCCATACAATCAATCAATCTCACTCATAAAAGAAAAAAAGAAAAAAGAAGATGGCGAAATAGTCAGCTACAAGCTCCACTTATTGGCCGAGATAACCCAAGTTCTTCCAAATACCCCAACCAAAAGGGTCAAGAAGAGACAAAGGGAGGCCTATCAGCAGGACCTAATTGGCAAAAATAAACATATAACTCGGCTCAAAATCAATTGGTATTACCTCCAAGAATGAGGTAAAACCGAGGACGAACAGGATGAATCAACACCCACGCTGTCCATATCCATACTCCAATTTCCAAGGAGGACAACTTAACTCCAAAGTGACCCCACTCTGCCATACAAACCCCTCCCCTAGGTCTACGGCTAGAGTGTCCTATAGGTATTTGGCAAGCATCCCTAACCAAACGAGGCACAAGTTCACTAGGTTGTCCCATAAGCCTTCATCTACTATTGCCCTCGATTGAGTTCAGAAACAATACGTAGATAGGCAGGACACCCGCGAAAACAACCTCCCAAACCCGAGAAAAAGCCCAGTTAGCCAGAATAAAAACTTCATAGCCAAGATAGCCCCAGTTCATCGAAAACCCCAACCGAAAGGGTGAAGAAGATCACTGGGCAGCCTGCCAGCGTGACCAAAAGCAATGATAAACATAAATCCCAGCTCCAAATGAAATGGTAATACCTCCACACATGAGGCAAAACCGGGTGGACTTGAAGGAGAACCTGCCCAAACAAGGGCAGGCCACCAAGAATGAATTCAGCTCCATTATGCTGCCCACAAACTGCCCATCAATTCCATTTCATTTCCAAAATCCACACACTGATTCAAGGCACACAAAGCAGCATCATTCATCTTAAGGCAAACTCAAGTTGCCATAAGTTTGATCATGCTAGGCAGCCCCTCACAGTTCCAACATCAAAAACAACCAGTTCATCATCATTCCAGCCCCTGGAAACCAAAACAGCAGCGCCCAAAACCAAAACAACAGCAGCGTCCAATGGTTTTCCAGCCCCTATTGAGCTCCAATTTCCAGCCCCTGGTTCCAGCTTCTTCTCCAGCAAAAATACCTCAAGGACCAGCTGCAAGACACGCCAAACCATGTCCCCAAACCTTAGTCACGCAGAAGTAAAACAGCACTAATTACTGTCCATTCCAGCGAGGTAAAGCCTCTGGTTTTAGAGGCATAAGAACCAAAACTCAGCCTAGTTATAATCCCAGCACGAAGTTCACAGGTCCCTCACAATCAGTTCACCATAACAAGAAGCAATGGTAGAAAGAAGAGAACCACAACAAGTGCCAAGTCTACCCATGAATAGCATGCCACAGATTCTGCACTTTCCTTCCAGCATTGGTCGATTCCTCCACCCAAAAACATCCCTAGTTGGCTCTTCCATAACCATTAGGGGGGGTAGGGGGACAACAGGCCATTATGCAGTTGATAGTTGCAGCACCATAGGGAATGTAATTCAGTGGCCTTCTTCATGGAATTGAACCCCAGAACTCAATAAATTCATCCCTCAAAACATGGTTCACAAAAATCCAGGTGAGCAAGAAGGATGAGCAAAAACCACTTCAAAACTCCCATAGTTTCAATATCAGCATTAAAACAAGCAAAATGACCAGTAACAGACACAAACCGCTTCAATTGATGTTGAAATCCAACTTCATAGAGTGGAAGAGGATTACAAACCGCTCAAAATCTCAGAAAATTAACCATCAAAGTTGCCTGGATCGAATTGAATCAGAGATGCAAAACCGCGATTGAACAGCGTCGGGCATAGCGTTGACCTTCATTTCTTCCAAAAAACTTCTCCAAAATCAGCAAAATAACCTCAAAGCAAAGGGGATGAACAGTGACTAGTTGGGCTTTGACTTCCAATTTGCATAGCTTCTTCTCACAAAATCCCAAATTGAATTTATTATCATGTGCGCCAGCATGAAATTTGCTCGGGTTCCAAAAATCAAATTAAATGAAGTAATCAATCAATGGAAGAATGGAAGGGAAGAAGGCAGTGAACAGTGTTCCGAGACACTGCAACATACAAGAGATGGCTGTGATTTTGAAGAAGATGACAGGAAAGAAGAGATATTCCGAATGGGACGCCATTGACGTAACTGCGAAATTGGGGGCACATACTAGGCGGGCAATGGAAAATTTGGAGGGATTCTAAAATTTGAGATGAACTTAAAAAATTTTAGAATCACCAATTTGATTTTTGAAACAAAAAAAGTTTTTTGGTACATAAATTTTCTCACACTTATGTACCACTTTAAATTAGGGGTACATTTTTTTGTTAATTGAATTTCTGTTTTTGTCCGATTTGATCTGATTAGGTCCGATCTGATGCACTTAAAGATTATATCAGGCAATTATGACACAACCTATATAAGTAAATAGATTTCTGTGAAAGTTTGATATGATCTTATTACATTCAGAATTCATTTGATCCGATTAGATCTGTTTTGGTCTAATTTAATCTAATTAGGTCCGATCTGATGCTTTTAAAGAACTAGGACACAACGTATACAAGTAAATAGATGTTTTAAAGATTTGATCTGATCTTATGTGATTTGAATTTGATTCGATCCGATTAAATCGATTTTGGTATGATTTGATCTAATTAGATCTGATCTGATTCATTTAAAGATTATATTAGGCAATTAAGACACAACATATACAAGTAAATAGATCTTCTTTGAAGATTTGATCTGATTCAATGCGTTTAAAGATTAGATCAGACAAATATGACACACAACCTATATAAGTGAATAGATTTCCTTCAAATTTTGATCTCATCTGATTGGATTTAAACTTGATTCGATCCGATTGGATCTATTTTGGTCTGATTCAATTTAATTAGATTTAATCTAATGCATTTAAAGATTAGATCAGACAAATAGGACACAACCTATATAAGTGAATAGATTTCCTTCAAGTTTTAATCTCATCTTATTTGATTGTAAAGATAAAATTTAAAAATAAAATTTATATAGTAAAAAAGTACATGAAAAGTTCTACAAAACTAGAGGTGACAATACTATTTTATTTTATGAAATGAATGGTTAAAATAAGCAAACAAAGTGAGTTAAGTTTGACCCTAGGAATAGTATCTGGGAAGATCTATGGTGGACAGAGGGAGTATTTTATTTAAATAATATACAATATATATTTTATTTAATTTTAGATCAAAGATTTAAAATGATTGATTGCAAAAAGTAAAAATTGAAAAAATATTCGAAGTCTAAAACCTAAAACATTTTGCATCCCCTTCTCCAAAGAAGCGGTACATTTTTGCAACTTCCTCCTCAAAATTTACAATTCCTCTTCACTTTTGTTTTCAAAATCACCTCAAATTTCATATTCCCTCCTTAAATTTTCAGAATCCCTCCTTTTTATTCTTTTCTCTTTTGCTATCTAAGAATTCCTGGCCATCCTTCACTCTTGCGTGCACCCAACATAATGGGGGCGGGGTTTCACTCTCTAGGAAACACGAATGAACAGTGCCACGAGGCTGTTCTTCGCCATATCTCCTTCATTTTGAGCTCTTTTCTTCTGGTTTTTGGAACTCTGGCTTCGCCTACAGCGGGTGATTCCATATTTGAGGTTGAATCGCTGATTTTGCGGCTGAATTATGAATAATCGAAGGTCAAAGCATGGGATGGTACTGTTCACTCGCAAACTTTGCAGCTTGATTCACGTCGTTCCAAAAGCTTCTGAAGGCCAATTTTCTCAGATTATGGGCGATTTGTGATCCTCTTTCAAGGTATGAGAGTGGATTTCATTCCCGTTTGATTTTTATTATATTTGTGGATTTCGAGGCTAGGTTTACCCTGTTCATTTTGCGACACTAGAGTGCGATTGGCACTGGTCCATGCCTGATTTTGGGTCCAGCTTTTGTGGGTTCTCATTGGCGATGTTGAGGACTTGTTTGTGTTGATTTTGGTCTTGCAGTCCAGCAAACTTGTTTGTTCTTCATTGATGAATGACTTTCTGGATTTGTACCACTAGGCAAAATTAGGCCTGTGCTTTTGTTGCTGTTTCCTTCTGGTTGGGTTGTGTATTAGGGTGGTGTGGATTCTTCTTGTGGTGATGAGGGGGTGGAAATTTTCTAGGCAATGTCATAACATTTGGTACAGGTTTGCCATTTTACCATAGCCCAGCCCCGATTTCCGATGGAGTAGTAACGATGTACAATACCGTGCATGGCTAAGGAGAGCGACGGTTTGCAGCGACTTGAAGATGATTTAACAGCATGTCCAGCCCTAAAGTCCGAAAAAACTAGCATCCATGGTTGTTTCTTGGTATAATCTTCAAATTTGGTTTGTTCTTTATATGATTCTTCCTTGATTAGGTTTGATTTTGTGTTCATATTCTATTTTAGTACAATTTCTTATGTTTAAGTGCTTCAAAAGATCTGAAATTGGTTTTGTTTGTGTTGAAAGGTTGGTGTGATTTTATTTTGAATCTAATATGAGTTATGTGTGTTGAATTTGGGCTTTCAATTGTCACTTTAATCACATGATTTGTTTGATTATTAAAAGAGTGAATATATTATTCTCATTTTGTGGTACCATCTCAGAGTTTTCATTTCTTTTGCTTCTTTAGGCTCCTGTTAAGGTTCTTGTCATACTCATTGATGAAGATAAAGTGCGAGAAGCGGGGCTTGGGGAGAACTTACGAGTCCGAGTATTTGGGATTGAGGAAGATGATATCTTATCAGGACTTGTTCTATGCAATGTTGGTAAATACCATTCAATTATTTTCTTTGCTTAGTCTACTTTTTCAATTTTCAAAGCTTTATGTGTGGACATGGTTTGCTCAATTTGTCCATTGTTAAGCTTATTTGGAAGGGGTTCATCAAGTTATCATTATGTTCTTTTATACCTATATAATCTTGTCTCGGTTTTTACTGAAATGGATCTGTGTCTTGGTGCAGTAAGGCATTTTTATTCTCTTATTTGCTTGTTATCAAACTAGGTTTATTGTATGTCGTATTCAGGTTGGCTTCTTAAGAGCACGACTTCTGCTATGTAGTCTTCTTATATTGTGCAAATAGATGAACTTCAATTGTTAAATAGATGTATATGAAGTACTTTGTCTTTGTCTTTACGGAGTATTAAGCTAGCAAATAACTCCAAAAAATTTCAATTATTTTTATTATGAACTCTTTCTTGTTATCAACAAACATTCATTTTGATTATTCAATGGTATGCAGATTGAGGACTAAAGTGGATGCTTTACAAGAAAATATTGCTAGAGCAAGAGATGTATTCAAAAATGTTATTGAGGGGACAAATAACTAAATTAGGCATGCCGAATGGACAATTAGAGTGTGATTTTAATTATGTAAATATTAAATTATTGTATGTTATTTAGACTTTGGTCGTATGTATTTAGATATTATTCAATATATTCTACATTTTAGAATTTATTTTTGTTTCTTGATCAATATTTTGGAATTAAAATAAATTTTATTTATTAAATATAAATGTAAATTGAAATATAGTAGTCTTTCAAATAACTTTACTACACAAACCTGTACTGTTAATAAACGTTAGAGAATAGAAATAAACAGTTGTGTGAAATAAAACAAATATAGTTGTTTAAAGATTACAAATACAACACAGAATAGTAGTTGTCTTATGCAAACATACTTAGTTGTCTTCGGAGTAGTCTGATTCACAATCTCACTACTGTGTAAAAAGATAGTTTGAATATTTCATGGACAACTACAAAAAAGCGTAGTGTTATTGAGAACTATACAAGGGAAAGAAACGGTTGTTTAAAATACAACAAAATTAATAGTCTACATTTTAGAAATATAACACAAGATAACAGTTGTCTGATGCTATTTTTGTTTAGTAGTCTTCCAAGCAGCAGTCTGATATATCTTTCAACTACTTTTGAAATTAGATGTCTATATTGTTGAACGACAACACCACGCAATAGGAGTCTGAAGTCGAAAACAACAGTAATATTCATTATAAATAGACAACGAAACATCACGGTTGTCTTTAACTATAGAAAACAGATGTCTTACTCATACGAGGACAACTTCAAAAAAATGTACTCTGAAACATCACAAAATAGGTGTTGTCAACCGTATTACACAATTGTTTTTAAACAGTAGTCTATAAATATATCAGACAGCTGCTCGGAAGACTACTGAAACTAGCACAGTTAGACTACTAAAAAGAACAGTTGTCAGCATCTGTTTTTGACGTAGTGCATTGTGATAATGTGGCAGCGTACAAGTGCAAATTACTATACTTTTTTGATAATGTATATGACCATGTTTGGTAATGTAAGTCCTATTATGGGAATAAAAACATGGAAGTCTTATTTTGGTATATTTTCAATGTTTTAGTCCTACTTTGGTCTTTCTCCCATATTAATGATCAATGGTCCTACATTGGGAAATAAAAAGAATAAATTCTCAAAATGGTCCTTTGTAATAAGGTGTTTTCCCAATTTAGTCCTCAATAAGTTTTAATTATCTACGTAGTCGTGTATAATTGAGATTTGTTCCCAAGATAATCTTTCCTAAATAATGTTACTCAAATGATGATTAATTGGGAGATATTTTGGTATTTTGATCGTCCAAATTTAAAGTATATTTTCGAAAGAGACATTTCTGTACAACTAAATGTAAAACTTAAAAAATACATTGACTATAAATAATTCATAGTCATAAAAAATACATTAACATATAAAAAATTTTAAATTTCAAATCAAATACACATATTTAATTAGAAAAAACGATTTTGGGAAAATACTTCATTATAAATGATCATTTTAAGAATTAGTTCTAAATTTAGCAAATAAAAAATACTAAAATACCCTCAATTAACTCTCACTTGAGTAACATTATTTACGAAGGACTATCTTGGGAATAAATCTCAATTACAGAGGATCACGTAGGTAATTAAAACTTATTGATGACTATTTTGGGAATTTACTCAAATAAAAACATATGATCCTATATTAAGAAAGTATCCCAAAAAACGCGAGGATACTATTTCTATCATCCAACTGACAACAAAGTGTTTGTTGCTCGGAATGGTGCATTTCTTGAAAAGGAATTTCTCACTAAAGGAGTTAGTGGGAGAAAGATAGATCTCGAAGAAATTCGAAACAATGATAATGAGATCGCATGGGGTAGAGAACGTGAGGAGGAAGAAATTACCGTTGCACCTGTATAAGATAAGAACACGTAAGAACTCCATAGGTCATCTCGAATACATAACAAACCAAAATGGTATGGTTTCCTCCAAACCTATGAAGGTGATGTGTTACTTATTTAGAATGATGAGCCTCAACACCTACCTTGAGGAAATCGGTTGCCCTAAAGCTAGGGAATGAATTAAAGCAATGAAATATGAAATGGAATCTATGTACACTAATCAAGTTTGGAACTTGGTTGAAGCACCTGAAGGGATCAAACCAATTGAGTGCAAGTGGGTCTTGAAGAAGAAGACTGACATGGATGGAAAGGTATATGTCTTTAAGGTGTGATTGGTAGCAAAAGGTTATAAAACGATTTAAGTTGTTGATTATGATGAAACCTTTTCTCCAATCGTGATGATCAAGTCCATTTCGATACTACTAGCTATTCCAGCATACTATGACTCTGAGATTTGGCAAATGGATGTCAAAACAGCTATCCTTAATAAAAATCTTCTAGAGGATGTGTACGTGACATAACCTGAAGGATTTTGTGTCCCTGAAAAATCTAGCAAAGTATGTAAGCTGCAATGTTCAATCTATGGATTGAAACAAGCTTCGCGGATTTGGAACATTCGGTTTCACGAAACTTAATTAGTTACGGGTTTGAGCGAAACAATGATGAGTCCTGCATTTTGTGTCCTTGAAAAATCTACCAAAGTATGTAAGCTGCAATGTTCAATCTATCGATTGAAACAAGCTTCGCGGATTTCGAACATTCAGTTTCACAAAACTGTAACTAGTTACGGGTTTGAGTGAAACAATGATGAGTCCTGCATTTATTAAAAGACCAATGGGAGCGGTGTGGTCTTCTGTCCATTGTATGTTGATGACATACTACTCATGGGGAATGACGTTCCTACTCTCGCATATGTTAAAGCCTGGTTGAGTAAGAATTTCACTATGAAAGATTTCGGAGAGGCTAGCTACACTCTTGGCATAAGGATCTATAGAGATAGATCAAGGAACTTGATAGGTTTGAGTCCGAGTATATACAAAGATAAAATGTTCGAAAAGAGGTAATCTACCAATGCTCCAAGGGATTAGTCTTTCGAAGACTCAATGCCCTTCCACACTAGAAGAAAAGAAGCGTATGGAAAATGTTCCATACGCCTTAGCTATTGGATCAATCATGTATGATATGATATGTACTCGTTACGATGTCGGTTTTGCTCTAAGTGTTACGAGCAGATACCAATCCTATCATGGCGAAAGCCATTGGATGGCAGTGAAGAACATCCACAAGTACTTACGAAGAACTAAGGCTGCCTTCTTGGTATACGGGGTGAGGAAGATCTCATAATAATCGGTTATACTGATGCAGCTTCCAAACTAATATGGATGACTTCAAATCTCAGGCGGGATATGTTTATTGTCTGAATGGCGAAGCTGTGAGCTAGAAGAGCTACAATGAGGATACCACCGTAGATTAACCTACAAAAGCGGTACATGGCGGCTTCTGAAGTAGCTAAAGAAGCTAAATCACACCTTCTCTCAACATATTCTCTCAACCTATTTATTTTTAAATTTATATAAATATTATCAAAAGTTATATTATTGATCCTAACTTTTGGAAATTTTTCTAGTGGCAATGTAGCAAACCCGAAAGTCCAAAGGGAAGATCGTGCGCAATGAAGACTCCACAAGTCAGGTTGCGAAGCGAGCATGGACGGTGACAGAGGAGGAAGCATTGGCCCAGGCGTGGGTGAACATATCTGAAGACCCGATTAATTACTTTACAATTTTTCTTACAATTTGTACTTATGATTTTTTCGTTTACAAAAGTTTGTTTTTGCGTTTAGGGACGACCCAAAATGTGGGCGACTTTTGGGCTATCATAACGACTAGATTCCACATCCTTATGAACGTCAAGCTCCACCGCAATGTCGATGCCTTCTCCTTCAAACACCACGACTTGAATCCAAAAATCAACAAGTTTGCCGGTATATACAACTCCGTCAGCCTCACTCAGCAAAGCGGGGGTAGTGATGAGGACATTTTAAAAATGGTGTTGGACACGTACTAAGACTGGTATAATACTAATGGGCCGATACCCAGTGGGCGGCCCAAACACCTTACCCGGAGGACGCTAGGTCAAGCGTACCGGGGAGGATTATATTGGATCTGGGCCGGCCTAAGACGTTGGGCCTGAACCAACCTAATTCAAAAGACAGCTGGCAGAGCCAATTTACGGGAGGAGACTCAGCAGAAGGCGGGGACTAAGCCGGAAAAAGGGGATTGCGCCATTGACAGATAAGACTTCCTTTGATTGTGAATTACCTTAAATGTTCAAGAAACCTTGTATAAATAGAAGGGACCCAAATGGGGAATGCTCAAGCTGAAAAAGCTAATAATACACACAACTCTCGATTTCTTGCTCTTGTTTATTTCTTGTGATCCATTCTTCTGAATTGGATCATTTGGTGGATTTATTGTCCATCAAATTGGTGCTTTCATTGAGAGCTCGAGAATCATACTCAAGAAAAACCTCCCACCAAAAACAATGGTGCAAACCTGTAGCAACGCAAACCTGGGTACTAGAATCCCACTCCAGGGCGAGAATAGTGCCACCGGAGGTCAGCACCCTCCCATTAGCATGACAGAGGTGGAAGCCCTCATCCAAAGGGTCGGGATCACCGCGGAGCAGTTCAAGGAGGTGATGGCGACCCTAACCCCGAACCGCGAAGTTGTGGTGGAGGATGCGACCAGGGAACCGGCTAGAGGGAAGGCTGGGCCTGCAGGCTCTGGGGGGGAAAAAGAAGAAGAAGGTCAGGCAGTCCCAGAAGAAAAAGGAGACCAAGCCTAACAGAAAGGCGATGATGGAGGATGAGTTGTCCAGGTTGGAAGAAGAGGACGAGTCGTCCTCCTTTGAGTGGGCGTCAGCCTTCGATCGATTGGGAGATTCCAAACAGAAGAAGCCCCAGACCTCGGCATTCGATCAACTACAAGATACTTAGTCGGCTCGGAAGGGTGATCTGAGAGAAAAGCTCAAAGAATGGAGAGAAGAGTCCTTGGCAACGTCCAAAGTCGGCTTAGAGGAGCAACGTAAGGCGATTGAAGACAAGGAGGCAATCGAGTTATGGAGGATGTATGATCGCCTGGAGAAGCGGTTGGACGCCCAAAACCCGTACCGCCAGGCGGTCTTCAGTGAGGTAACCCCCTTTTTAGAAGAGTGATGTCATGTCCACTCACAGGCAACTTTAAGACCCTTCAAATCAAGGCATACAACGGGACAACTGATCCCCAAGACCATCTCGCTCGCTTTGGGGCGAACGTGGTTATGTACGCCTACCCTACAGAGATCAAATGCCAAAGCTTCCTAGAAACGCGAGAGGGACAAGCCTGCAAATTGTTCCATAAGCTGCCCAAAGGGTCGATCGATAAGTGGAGCGACTTGGCCCATAAATTTCTCGAGCACTTTGCATCCAGCCAGAGACAGAAACTCACATTCTCACACCTACTTAATGTGAAGATCCGGAAGGGGGAGCAACTCCGGGAATTTATCAATAGGTGGGAGAAGGAGGCCAGGGACGTCCAGGGGGCGGACAACCAAGCCTTGATCGCGATGCTCCAAGCGGCACTCCCTCAGTGGGATGTGCGCAAGGAGCTGCGACGGAATCCATTCTCTACCTATTAGGAAATGCTGGCTAGGGCAAAGTACCCGGTGTTAGAAGAAGAAGACGACGAGCCGCTCGTCTAGAAGGAGAAGAAAAGCGGACGACCAACAGGAGAAGGAAGAGAAAGGAAATATTTTGGTACGGGAACGAACCCTACAGGATATCAGGCGAGCAGGTTGCCTATTCACACGGTGTAGTCCTTACCAGCCCCTCCCCGTAGTCGGGAAAGTTATAGCGTCCTAGACGTGCCCAAGTACTACGAGTACCATTGTAACAGCACCCACAATACTTTATAGTGCGTTACATTGAATAAAGAAATGGACCAGCTGATCGCCAGGGGACCACCTCCTCGGCCGGAGCGACCAGCGCTAGGGAACACAACGTGGAGGAGGCCAGCGGCCTCCGCCGCAGCGATCACTGCTGGGGAAGGGCAGGAAGACGAAAGACGACATCTAGGGAGAGATTGTGAAAACCTGGATGAGGAAGAAAGGTTAGGGTAGCTTGATTGTTCACACCATTTAATCGTAGGGCGACCGAGTCTAGAGGATTTGGAGTGCGTAATCCCCCCCGCCCACCTGTGTATGAAGTTCATCACCCCTATTGGGGTAGGGGTGGCAAGAGGAAATCAGAGTCTATCCTGGTCGTGTTATGTCAGGGCGATCAAGAGCTAGGAACGGGTCAACGAGAACGTCAGCACGATCTATGCCGCAATACAAAAGGAGGAAGGGTGACCCAGAGCGGAGCCGGCAGAGGAAGTAGAGGAAGTTGCCCTGGATCCGGAAGAGCCGTAGCAAGAGGTGAAGGTAGGTAAATCCCTGCCACTTAAGTTGAAGGAGCAGTTGGTAAGTGTCCTCCGTTAGTTCAAAGTGTTATTTGCTTGGGGTCCAGGGGATATGACTGGGGTTGACCCACGAATCATCTACCACAGATTGGCGATAGATCCGGCCCACAAGCTGGTCAAGCAGAAGAAGCGATTCCTCTCCTCGGAAAGGAGAGACTTCGTCACCAAGCAAGTAACCACCCTGCAATCCATCGGGGACATCATGGAAGTCCGTTATCCCGAGTGGTTGGCAAACATAGTCCTCGCACCAAAGGGGAACACCTGGCGGATGTGTGTCGATTACACCGACCTAAATAAGGCTTCCCTAATGGACCCATTCCCTCTCCCCAATATTGACGAGTTGGTGGACGAAATGACAGGGTACGAATTAATGAGCTTTATGGACGCTTTTAGCGGGTACCATCAGATCGGGATGGCCATGGCAGATGAAGAGAAGACCTCTTTCATCACCCCCAATGGGGTATATTGGGGTATGTTGTTATAAGGTAATGTCCTTCAGCCTTCGCGGCTTATGCACGAATGGTCAATTTTATAAGCTGTTCGGGCCGGTGCTAGGGGGTGTATGGAAGCGTATGTGGATAATATGATTGTTAAGTCAAAGCAGATGGTGTCCTATACTCAGGATTTAGAAAGGGTGTTCAGAATCATGAAGAGGTACCAACTCCGCCTCAACCTAAAGAAGTACACGTTTGGGGTTCAAGGAGGAAAATTCCTAGGACATATGGTCAGTCGAAGGGAGATCGAGCCCAACCCTGAGAAGGTTAAGGTAATCTTGGAGATGGAACCTCCGCGAAATGTGAAGGAGGTACAACAGCTAGCAGGGAGGATCGCTGCTCTCAGCCGCTTTTTATCAAAGATAGCTGATCGACTAGCACCATTCTTCCAAACCATAAAGAAAAGTAGAGGCTTCATCTGGACCAAGGAGTGTCAGAGGTCCTTTGAAGGGTTAAAGGTGTATCTCCTCTCGCCGCTAGTACTTTAAAATTCGGAGCCCGGAGAGACCTTGTTTTTACACATGGAGATCTCTCCTCGGGCTGTGAGCTTAGTACTCGTGAGAGAGGAGGAAGGTACGCATCGCCGTGTGTATTATGTGGCTCTGGTGTTACGAGGAGCATAGCTGAGATACACGAACATGGAGAAAACGATCTTTGCAGTGGTGTGCATGGTGAAGAAGCTCACCCCCTATTTTCAGGCCCATCTGGTCCACGTGCTAACCTAGAATCCAATCAGAACCCTCATTCGGAGTTTTAATGCTCCGTCGCAAGTCAGCAAATGGGGAGTATTCCTGGTTTCAAACCAGATAGAGTTCAAATCGCGACTAGCGATCAAGGGGTAGGCATTGGCGGATTTCGTGGTGGAATGCACCGTAAGGGAGGTAGAGACCAACAGAAAACAGCAAGAAAGAAATTAGTGGAGCATATACACCTATGGATCGCCCGCGACCGATGCTTCAGGGGGAGGCGCCGTGGCAATATCGCTAGAGGGATTCGAGGCATATTACTACGTAAGATTCCGCTTCAAGGTCTCAAACAACGAGGCTGAGTACGAAGCGCTCCTTTGTGGTTTTAGGCTGGCGGCATCCTTGAAAGCTGAGCGGATCCAAGTCAAGTGTGATTCCAACTTAATAGTAGGCCATTTCACTGGGGAATTTGAAGCAAGGGATGAGCGGATGAGGAAATATAGAACACCGCGTTGGAAATGCTTAAGGCATTCGGGGCATACCAGATAGAGCAGGTCCCTCGAGAAGAAAATGCCGAGGCAGACATCCTCTCAAAACTTAGTCCTGATTCCCTGGATAATATCAAGGCGATGACTCAAGAAGAGGAGTTGTTTGAACCAAGCATCAGTCCCGGACAAGTCCTGGTCTTCACACTCAATGAGCCGGACTGGATTGACGAGTTGACCATGTATATCATTGCGGGTCGATACCAACAGATCCGGTTGCATCCAAAGTTGTCAAGTGACACGCACCTAGCTATACGCTGGAGTGTGGGAGGTTGTATAAGTGAACGTACAATGGTACATTATTGAGATGCTTAAGGAGGGACGAAGCGCAGAAGCTGATGGTACGTCCATGGGGGAATATGTTTGGCCCACCAAGGGGCTTTTACGATGTCAATAAGATAACCATGTAGGGGTACTTTTGGCCGACGATCATAAGAGATTGCGCAGAGTACGTGCGTAAGTGTAAAGTGTGCCAAGAATTCTAGAGGGTGCCACGGCGACCAGCGACGAACTACACCCCAATCAGCACGGCAATTCCCCTTGCTCGGTGGGGTATTGATTTGGTCGGCATATTTCCCAGGGGAGCAAGAAAATAACATGTACCTAGTGGTCGCGGTTGACTACTTTACCAAGTGGGTCAAGGCCGCCCCAATACCGACCATTACCGAAGAGCAGATGAGGAAATTTGTGTCTAAACAAATTTTGTGTCGTTTTGGAGTGCCCCTACAGATCATCACTGATAATGGAACCCAGTTTGAGGCTAGGGGGTTCAATGCATTTCTGCAGAGTTGGGGCATAAAGCATAGCTATGCCGCGGTCAGGTACCCACAAACCAATGGGCAGGTTGAGAATACTAACCGCACCATTGTGGATGACTTGAAGAAGAAGATAATGGAGTGCAAAAGTGCGTGGGTGGACTTATAGGACCACCCCAAGGAAGGCCACGGGGAAACACCGTTCGCACTCATGTATGGATTTGAGGCAAGGGCTCCAGCTGAAACCTCACTGCTAAGTTATAGGGTGGAGATGTTTGATGCACAAGAGAACGAGGAAAGCTTGAGGGCGGAGTTACATCTCATAGACGAGCGAAGAGAAAGGGCCTACATCTGGGCAGAGAATTACCGCCGACAAGTTAAGTCGTACCATGATTAGAGGGTGCGACCAAGGCAGTTCAAGATGGGTGACTAGGTCCTAAGGAAAAGGGAGATCAGTCGGTCGACCGATGGTGGGAAGTTTTCAAAATGCTTTGAAGGGCCATATATCATAAAGGAAGTATTGGCTGATGGAACATTCAAGTTGCAAACCCCAGCGGGAGGCGACGTCCCGCAGGTATGGAATGATGCCAATCTCATCAAATTTTATCAATAAATTGTACTCCTGCTATGTTTCACCTTTGAGTTAAATAAAACATGCACTTTGGCACTTTCTGGTCCCATCCCTTCTTGAATTTTATTGTTAAAAAAAGGAGCGACCAAAAAAGATCGTTGCTAGAAACTACATGGTGATTCGCACTAAGATACCTATCAAGGGGTGAGCTGCTGAGCCCAGTTAGTGACTAAAATTCAATCAAATATGGCCAATTGTGTGAGCGCTCGGTGATCAGTGCGCCCTTGACCTAACAGTCGCTAGGGCGACCGGTAGGCTGACACACTTAAGGAAAGGGGCGACGCCAAGGCGAAAAAGCCTCAGAAACGGCTAAGTCCAGAGCATAAGACCCAATGGTCGCTTGGGTGACCGGGGGGACTTATGAGGAACACGGCGACGACGAGGGGGAAAGAAAGCCCCACGAACGGCTAAGCCAGGAGGAGCAGGGGGTTCTTCTCAACTAAAGGTTGAGGAGACCTGAATGCTTGAAATAAGGTATAAAAGGCAACTTGAAAGGAAGATGGGACTTGTCATAAGCAAAACAGACATGTAACATCGAAGTCCATTCGTGAAAATATCTATTACACATCAAGAATCACCTTTTGCACCTACATATATCAATACAATTGAGAACATCTTCCGTACATCTTACATACATTCAAGAGGAAAAACTCAAAATCTGCGTGGCCGAAGCTTAAAAAGGAAGAAAAATACAAGGGAAAAGGCGAGGTGAAGGGTAGTGCTGCAGCTAAGCAGGCAGACAGAACCCCGACCACCAGTCGCTACGAGCGACCACCTCTCTTCTCCGACATGGAACAGAGATGGTCGCCCCCATCCGTAACAAAAACCCCCCGTCCTTCTCCCTAGAAATAGGGAGGGAGGGGGGACTCTCTTTTCTGTGAGCCCTAATCGGCATCACCTAGATGAAGATGAAAACCCTGAAGTAGCTAGAGCTACTCCAGGTCGTATAGGAGTCCCCGGGAGGAAAGCGACCAGCAGAGCGTGGTAGGGGAGAACCTAGTTCTTCCCCCACCACAACCTCTTCATTAGGCCGCTCCGGCAAATTGGTGCGACTCTCATTAGACCACTGTTCCAGACTCATGAGGTATGCTCCTTCATGCTCCAAGAGAGGCAGGTACTCATTTTGCATGCTCTTCCAAGCCACATATTGCCACTTGTGGATTGGACATGGAGCATCCCAGTCTACCTCTCCATAGGGCAAACGGTTGGCTAAAAGTGCCTTGGACGCCGCGCTAAAGTCATCATAAGGATTTGGTGGAATGGGCGGAGGTTTAACCGAGGGCCATCGTCGGCGAGGCAACCGGCAGCAGAATTTGTAGGGGTCTAGCCCCCTAATCGTTGGAATTGACGGACTAGGGGGAAGAGGCAGACTCCGGGGTAGAAGGGGAAGGCCCATCGGAAAAATCCCAGGAAGTAGGAATTCCTTCGGACATGGTGAAAAATGGACAAGTTGTGGTCTGAAGGAAAGGTGTGAGATGGAGGAGTTCAACAAAGTATGGGGGGCTTATAAGGTGCCCCGGGTGAAGAAACCGAAGAGACGGTCAATTCCCAAGCCCGCTAAACCGATAAAGCAGCCTTAAGCCGCGCAATGGTCCAATCAATGGCTGCAAACAATGCAGTGGATCAATTGGGCGGGGCGGCGATAGGTCACAAGAGTGGGCCTAGTCATACAGGTGGGCCAGGAATAGAAGTTGGGCCCCGCCTGGAGGCCCACCCACATCAACGGAGTGGGTCAATTTAAAGAAAGAGTACAACAACAAAGCATAAGGAGAGCAAAGGCATGCGACAAGTAAAAATAAAATGGCAAACATGGGAATATTGTATCAAAGCACCAAGGCATCCAAAAATTATAAGTTTTTACAAATCTAAAGGCAAAAAGTGCAAGGAGAAAGTAGGGTAGATCACACGCCCGAGCTGGTGCCTTCGCCCGTTTTGGACGTCGCCAGTCCCTGGTCGCCTTGCCCATCCTGGTCGCACTACATAGCTGATTCCACTTCCTCGTCGGAAGCACTCGAACTCTCCTAGTCCAAGTAAGGACTGGGGTCGAACTCAGCAAAGGCGCGACAAGGAGGGGGAAGGCCAAGGTCAGGAAGGGAGATTCCTTTGGGAAGCCGAGCTAGCTTGTCGCGGAAAACTAGTTGGGCTCGAAAGAGTCCGTAGTTGAAGGTCTTCTCTGATTCCCGACCATCCATTGAGCTCCAGGCCCGATCTTGAGCCACTCGACCGCCATCTTGCCCATCTACTCCATAGCGACCGCAGTAAACTCGAGGGAAGACTTGAAGGACTCAATCGCCTCCTCCAGGCGACAGGCCTGCTTGCTCCTCTCGACCTCCAACTACTGGATCAAATCGACCTTCTCTCCTTCTAGCTCGGCCACTTGGGTAGAAACGGACCCCATTTCAGAAGATAGAGAGGCGTTCTCCACCTCCAGGTTTGCAGAGCAACCTTTCTCCTCCTCCAACTCTCTCGCAAGGCAAGCGACCTCATTCTGCAGCTCCCTCTGCTTATCTTCCGCAGCCTTCTTCGCCTCATCCATAGCCGCTTGTCGATCTTGCCTCCAGCCGATGAGCTCGATCATCCCAGCGTGGCCTAAACCAGAACATAAGGTGTCAGGAATGTAAGGCGGAAGGGGATGAGAAGGGAATTAAGGCAAATATTTGACTAAGCTTCAGAAGAACCATGTTGTTAAGGTCATCATCAGAACCGGCTAAGATGCGAGCTCAATCCGGAGCGGGGAGGGTGGCCAAGGTCTCCAGCGGTATGTCCCCTAGACTTGGGGATAGGGGAGGAATGCTAAACCTTGTCGAGCGGCACTCGGTTGCCACCTCGTAGGTCACTACAGGTGGGGAGGGAGGTCGCTCCGAGAGGGCCCTTTGAGACGATCCTGCTAGGTCACTCACCGTCATTCCCATTTTCGGAGCCGCGCCGTCGTGATCTTGCACCTCGATCACAACCTGTTCCTGCGGGGGGCCATCTTCACTGTGCGAGGAAGAACACTTGCTCCTGGTCTGATGAGCTGCATCCCTCTTCCTTTTTCTCCCTGCGATGAAGTGGCCGATCAAGAGATCACTCTCCATCTCTTCTTCTAACCCCTCTTGCTCAAATGAAAATGGATGGAATAGTTAAGCACCGAAAGAGATAAAATTGAGATCCTTAATGGAGAGAAAACAATTACCAAAGGGGCCACTGTCAGCACTTCCCCCAGGGAAGTCCCTTAGTAGGTCAGGCTGATGGCGATGCTCGTCTTTGACAAACCCAAACCCCAACGCGGCTAGAGATTCCTTGGTCACCACCTTCTTAATCTCGAAGGTCCCTTGGCCACTGAGGTTCCAGGTGATGGATAAGAGAGTGGCATTGGATTGGGGACACGAAATGCAACGAAAGGATGGGAGCCCTGAACCCGTGAAAGGAGATTTGCCCCTTCGAGACAAAGATGAAAAAGGGATTCCAGTCCTTGGTCGACCCTTTGTTGTCGCTAGTGAAGAGTTTGCTGGATCGTTGGGAAAGGCTGACATAGGATGCCAAATCCCCATGACCTTTGGTCAGTTTGAAAGTAAAAAGGAAATGGTCAAGTGTAGGCTTCACCCCTACTTTTTCTTGCATCTAATCAAGTAATTGGTGATATACCGGTGAGAATTGGGGACCAGTTGGCAAGGGAGGAGATCCACCTTGTTGAGGAACTCAATCAACAACGAGTGAAGAGGGAATCGCAGCCCCTTCTTCAAAGAGGCTAGATGAACGGTAAAGAACCATGAAGGAGCATCCAGGGCGTTTTGGGTGCTAGTGAGCCATAGGACTTCAATAGAGAGCCCGACCATGTATGTCAGTGGCGAGGGGGGGGAATTGCTTCCTCAGTCGGCGCAGCTCTTAGCCAGGCACGGCCACCGATGATGGCTGAGGAGAATTGGTCTAACCTTGGTCATGGCCAGAGGCCGAGTGATCGACTTGACTAGAATTGGACGACGGGGAAGCTGAGTCAGAATCACAGACAATCATGATGGTAAAAGGGGGAACTGACCTGAAATTAGAAGGAAAACTGGTCGGGTAACGGCGGAAGGACAAGTGAAGAGGCAAGTGTAGCAGGTAGGGAAGAATGGCGTCCTATGGCGGTTTTATCAGAAAGTGGGAAGGCGAAACAGCAGGCCATGATTGCTTTTAATGGAGATCGCGCCAAACGTCACGGGAAACCCAAGGAATGGCTCGAATTCGTTAGGGGGCACCCACGTGGACTTCGTAAACTCCCCATCCCTCAACGTGGCCCGTCTAAAGAATGAGGAGTTGGGGGGCTTGTGATGGGCCGATACCCAGTGGGCGGCCCAAACACCTTACCCCGAGGACGCTGGGTCAAGCGTACCGGGGAGGATTGAATCTGGGCAGGCCCAAGACACTGGGCCCAAACCAACCTAATTCAAAAGACAGCTGGCAGAGCCAATTTACGAGAGGAGACTCAGCTGAAGGCGAGGACGAAGCTGGAAAAAGGGGATCGCGCCATTGACGGATGAGACTTCCTTTGATTGTGAAATACCTTAATTGTTTAAGAAACCTTGTATAAATAGAATGGACCCGAATGGGGAATGCTCAAGTTGAAAATGCTAATAATACAAACAACTCTCGAGTTCTTGCTCTAGTTTATTTCTTGTGATCCATTCTTCTGAATTGGATCATTTGGTGGATTTATTGTCCATCAAATACATCTTTCTCACACATCAAAGCGTGGGAGATATTGTGTGCACACCTAAAGTGGGCTCCGGTGCCAAATGATGTCTCCCGGGCAAAACAGACCAAGACGTCAGAGTTCAAAGATTATAGTAGTCCCGGCCCGGGGGTCAAACAGTCGTTGGGCGTCAACGTTGCTTAGTGACGACGATGACATTTTGACCCCTCTAAAGCTGACACAGCTCGTCGACAGGTATAAGGTGAAGGGGAAGAGGGCATCATCTTCATTGGTGCACGAAGGGCAAACTATTGACGACCTTGTCACCACCGTGGCTGCCTTCAATGATAAACCGATGGACAAGGTCCAGCTGAAAAACTCAAGCCGTTGAGGAGGCACTCCGCAAAGATTGAGCGTGAACACAATGATCAAGAATATATACGAGATTATTATTTTAAGTGTTGATCATTTGCCTCGTCTAGAGCGTGCAGTTGTAAAAAATCAAGGATAAGATTAGCCGGAAGTGGCTTGGGAGTGCGGAAGGACAAGTTCGGCGGCGATCTTTGTTTTTTTGTTTTCAAGTAGTTTCTTTTTATTTTCAATTTCGTACTTTATCAATGTTATTTATTTTTTCCGCACTATGTCAATGTAAATTTGAATTTGAATTTGAATTTTAATTAAATATTTATTTAATAGTTTTCTTTTAAATTATTTTCAATTAAATATATTTTAAAAAAATAAAAAAGATGGGACTATGATGAAAAAGAGAAGAGCTAATATAGTGTTGAGTGAGATAATGTGATAGGTGCAATCCATCAGGGCATTGGGTATACCCGTCACGCCCACCGGCGTTAAGCCGGTTTTCATGCCCAGGGGCGTTAAACACCGCCCCTGCGGCTTCATCCCGGCGTGATGCACCCTGCGTCATTCTTTTGACACAGCCCCTTCCCCTCCCTAACAGCTAATTTAGCCTTTGAAAACAAAAAAAAAAGAAAAATTAATTTTTTTTATAAATTTCAAACTCCCCCCCTCCCATTCTCACACCTTGAATCTTCTTCAATCTTCTTCACACATACTTCAATTTCGAACTCCCCCCCTCTCTTTTGAACATGAATCCTTCCAGCTCCGGCTTCTTTCCGGACAATCTCGAGCCTCACGAGTCCGCGATGTGGTATTTCCAAAAATACAGGAATCATTCGCCGATGTTTGAGACGCAACAATCAGATACGTCGAGCGAGATTCATTTTCAGAGACTCAACCGGAACCACCCGGCTCCAAAAAAGTACACACCGGGAAAGCCACAAAACAAAAGGCACGACGACCGAGGCGGCATGGTCAATCCAAAAGTGGACGCCGGAGGAAGAGTGCTTATTGGCGTCGGCTTGGGTTAACGTCTCCAAGCATCCTGTCATTGGTAAGAATTACTCCCTCCGTCCCTAAATAGATTACAATTTTTTTCTCTCTTCTCTCGATAACTTTTGTTTGTTTACGCGATTTCATTAAGTATTTGATAAAATAAAATATTCTTGTCACCTCTTGTTTTGTAGAACTTTTGATGTTGTTTTTTAATATGTAATTTTTATATCTTATTGATATACCAATTTGTAAATAAAATGATTTCAAAAAATAAGAAATTTTACTCCGTAACCCACAATTTGTAATCAAATTAGGGACGGAGGAGTATATGTTTTCTAATATACTTATGTTTTTATTTATATAAAATTATATTTAATCATGTCATAAAAATTTTGTGTTATACTTTTTTAAAGGTTTGGAGCAAACGAAGGATGCGATGTGGGATTGTATCGAAGAGAAGTTCTTCACGAGGATGAACAAGGATGGCTCCTACCATACCCAGGACCAACTCACTTCCAAATGGAGCCACATCAACCGTAAAGTCCGAAAGTTTATCGGAGTTTACGAGGAATGCGCCCGATCCCGAAGGTGCGGGATGAACGATGCTGATGTTCTCCGGCTTTCCACGACCTAGTATCAAGATGACGAGCACCAAGGCAAGGTACCCATCGATCTTGGGAGGATTTTGAGCCGTTCCCCGAAGTCGCAACAACTCAACAATCCTGACGGCGGATTGTCAAAGAAAAGATCCTCCGTCGACGCCGAGGTTGAGGTCGACGACACTATCGGTTCATTCATTCAAACAAATGCCTCCCTTCAACGTTGTGGATTTTGATGACGAGGACCCCATTCCATGGCCGATCGGAAGAAAGAAGGCAAAATCCATTGCCTCGAGTTCGGGAGGATCCAACTCTTTTTTCGTTTCTTCTCGCAACGAAATCGGTCAGGCAATGGTTGAACAACTTCGGGTGTTCAATATTCGAGAAGAAGAGAGGATGAAGCTACATGAGGAGGAGATGAAGCGAAAGGAGTAGGAGGACGAGATCAAAATCATGGAAACCGATCTTTTTACGTTATCGCGTTTCAAACGGATTATCTACAAGCAAAGACAAAGAGAGATCAAGGCGAAATATAATTTACCTTAGTTTTTTATTAATGAATCTTTTTTATTATTATCGTTTTTTTAGTTTAATGAATGTAATTTTTTAAATTTTAAATTATTGTCATTTCAATTTCTTTAAATTTAATGAATATATTTTTTTATTATTCGTGTTTCAAGATAATTAAATAACAAATTAATTACATTTTATTAATTTAGTTTTAGAAGATGTATATTTAAAAATGTAAAAAATGAAAGTTTGAAGCCCCAGGGCTTCAAACCCATTTCTAGTGAATTTGTGAGGTAAGTTAAAGCTGATGTGGCAGAGAGAGAAATTTTGAAGCCCCGGTTTTGTTGGGATTTTAAGCGCGTAAGATACTGAAAAATGATGAGAACACCAGAAAAATGAGATAACAAACACAAGAAAAATATATGAGAGAAAAAATATATTTCCACTATTTCAGGACAATATACAAAAAAAAACTCTCCCCTGTTCACAAGGCTAAATTCCAGACACTCATAAACATATCTTTCCACATCCTATGCCCGGATGTATTTTTCTGAGTAACTAAACCAGTTACTTCCTACACTCACTCGCACTCACCAAGATCCCTTGGATTTCCCGGTGGTATTCTTGTGTAGAACCCTTTTCTCTCTCTACCTTGGTGTGTAAAACACACAAATAGAGCTACCCATTGCTCTCTCACTATAAAGAAACCATGCATAGTAGAAAATGAACTTTCTTGGTAGTTTCCAAGCCAAAACAAGACAAACAAATATCCAAGCTTATCCCCCACAATCTCTTAGCCGTGTATTCCATCTCAAATTTCTACCTCTCCTTTTTATTCTTTTCTTTTTCTTTTTTTTTTCTTTTTCTAATTTTTCTTTCTTTTGAATATTTAATAAAATTCCCAACAAACTCCACCTTTATTAAAAAAAATATCTTTGGCTCCATCTCAGTCTGCTCCACCGAGATCACCGCTGCCAATATCAAAGAAGAAAAGAAATACCTCGTGGCTCCACCTTGCTCAATACCACAAGAACCGACCCCTGCCACTTCCAGTTGCTGTTGAACCGTGACTCCACCACAACCGACCCCGTCAAGATCTTTGTCACTACCTTAGCTCCTTAGAGTTTTAACCCTCCATTCCGAGCTAAAAAAACAACTCACCTTTGTTAACACTCTCTAAGACCACCCCTCTAGCAATTAGCTTCTTTCGATCTGCCCATCTTGCACTGCCGTAGCAACACCTGCGGGACACGCCGCCCTTCCTCTTCTTGCTGGGAAGACTTTCGCCACAAGACATAAACCGCAGTTTTCTACTCCGCTAGACCACGGGTCTCCTCATATCCTTTTCCTGCACCATACTTCACAAAACCAGCATGTCACTTCGTACTCGGTCCTCATGCCATCCACTTTGTTTTTGAAGTCCCTTGGTCGCCTTCTGGCCAAAATCGACCAGTCTCTGAGTTCTCAAAATTTCTCATTTTACCGCTTACAAATCCCTCCTGCCCAGCGCAACCAAGCTCTGATACCAATTGTTGGGATTTTAAGCGCGTAAGATACCGAAAAATATTTAGAACACACCAGAAAAATGAGATAACAAACACAAGAAGAATATATGAGAGAAAAAATATATTTCCACTATTTTAGGACAATATACAAAAAACTCTCTCCTGTTAACAAGGCTAAATTCCAGACACTCATAAACAGATCTTTCCACATCCTATGCCCGGATGTATTTTTCTGAGTAACTAAACCAGTTACTCCCTACATTCACCCACACTCACCAAGACCCCTTAGATTTCCCGATGGTATTCTTCTGTAGAACCCTCTTCTCTCTCCACCTTGGTGTGTAAAACACACACATAGAGCTACCCATTGCTCTCTCATTATAAAGAAACCATGCACAGTAGAAAATGAACTTTCTTGTTAGTTTCCAAGCCAAAAGAAGACAAACAAATATCCAAGCTTATCCCGCGCGCACAATCTCTTAGCGGTGTATTCCATCTCAAATTTCTACCTCTCCTTTTTTTCTTTTCTTTTTCTTTTTTTTCTTTTTCTCATTTTTCTTTCTTTTGAATATTTAATCAAATTCCCAACAAACTCCACCTTGATTAAATAATCAAAAAAACTTTGTAGCTCCACCTCACTTTTCCGATAAGATCATCGCTACTCCGAAATAAAAAAAATATCCTTGGCTCCATCTCAGTCTGCTCCACCGAGATCACCGCTGCCAATCTCAAAGAAGAAAAGAAATACCTTGTGGCTCCACCTTGCTCAATACCACAAGAGCCCCAGCCACTTCCAGTTGCTATTGAACTGTGACTCCACCACAACCGACCCCGTCAAGATCTTTGTCACTGCCTTAGCTCCTTAGAGTTTTAACCCTCCACCCCGAGCTAAAAAAACAACTCACCTTTGTTAACACTCTCTAAGACCACCCCTCTAGCAATTAGCTTCTTTCGATCTGCCCATCTTGCACCGTCGTAGCAACACTTGCGGGACACGCCGCCCGACCTCTTCTTGTTGGGAAGACTTTTGACACAAGACATAAACCGCAGTTTTCCACTCCGCTAGACCACGGGTCCCCTCATATCATTTTCATGCACCATACTTCACAAAGCCAGCATGCCACTTCGTACCCGGTCCTCATGCCATCCACTTTGTTCTTGAAGTCCCATGGTCTCCTTCTGGCCAAAATCGACCAGTCTCTAGGTTCTCAAAATTTCTCCTTTTATCGCTCACAAATCCCTCCTGCCCAGCGCAACTAAGCTCTGATACCAATTGTTGGGATTTTAAGCGCGTAAGATACCGAAAAATATTGAGAACACTAGAAAAATGAGATAACAAACACAAGAAGAATATATGAGAGAAAAAATATATTTCCACTATTTCAGGACAATATACAAAAAAAACTCTCCCCTGTTCACAAGGCTAAATTCCAGACACTCATAAACAGATCTTTCACATCCTATGTCCGGATGTATTTTTCTGAGTAAATAAACCAGTTACTCCCTACACTCACCCACACTCACCAAGATCCCTTGGATTTCCCGGTGGTATTCTTGTGTAGAACCCTCTTCTCTCTCCACCTTGGTGTGTAAAACACACACATAGTGCTACCCATTGCTCTCTCATTATAAAGAAACCATGCACAATAGAAAATGAACTTTCTTGGTAGTTTTCAAGCCAAAAGAAGACAAACAAATATCCAAGCTTATCCCTCACAATCTCTTAGCGGTGTATTCCATCTCAAATTTCTACCTCTCCTTTCTTTTCTTTTTCTTTTTTTTCCTTTTCTCATTTTTCTTTCTTTTGAATATTTAATCAAATTCCCAACAGGTTTGAAGCCCCGGGGCTTCACGGGTATTTCCCCCACCCAATAGCCTCAAACTTGCCCCGAACATCTCTTTTATCTTCTCGTGACAGAAAGTAAAAGGGGCGGGGGAGGGAATTTGGTGGTAGTGTTTATCCTTCCTCGTCTTTCACCAAAGAGGACCTAATTATTAGTACATGAAAAAGAAAGAGCGGGCCCACTGATCTTTGAAACTACAAAGACCAACCGTAATTGAACTCTCCGTTTCAATTTATTAGTGCTAGAATGAGTAAGTAGCCTTCAAGTCATCTCAATTAATAATTTGTCGCTGATTAAGGGCTGTGCAAGTATAAAAAGAGATAGAAGCGCTTCTCATTTCTGTATGTGCAGCTCATATATTTAAATATATATTTATCTCTCTAGCTCCCTCCCGTACTGGAGCATATATATATATAGAGTTCGTCCTTAGCTTATTACTCTTTTGCTTAAGATATTATTATTGAAATATATATATAAATTTAGGACGACATAATACATAATGACGATGAGAGATCTTGTGGTAGAATTCGGCCATTTTTTGGCAAAGATAAAACCATACTTGGCAATGGTCTCCCTCCAGTTTGGGTATGCTGGGATGTACATAATATCCATGATTTGCTTGAAACGAGGGATGAGCCATTGGATCCTCGTTGTGTATCGTCACGCTGTGGCGTTTGTTGCAGTCGCCCCTTTTGCTCTTGTTCTTGAAAGGTATACTTATATATTTATATATACCGAT